GTGTGTGGGGGTTAAACATTTCCGGATTGGACCGAGACTTGCCATGCAGCCTTGGTTTACTACCGGTAGCCCGCCTATCAAGTTTCGTACCATTTGGACTTCCTTTGATGCTCCAACGGTTAACCGAGGGATCGAGAAGGCCTCGTGTATGTTGCAGCCCAACACCCTTCCATTTTGGCCCAAAACCCACCTAAACCCTCTCCATCATCTAGAGCATTCGATCACGATCGCGTGGCCGCAAACCGCACCTCATTTGGACTCTCCTAGCTCCTCTTATGCCTATATATAGACCCCCCTCCGAAATTCCCGGATCCCCTCCTTTCCAAATCCTAAAAATCGCCCCGCCGCCGCCGGACATGTCCGTCGCCTAATCAGACACATCTCCGCCGCCGCCCGCAGCCAACCGGGGGCCACCACGTGGCGCGCCGCCACCCGCAGCCACGCCGGCCCGCGCGGCCCGCTGCGAGCCCCCGTGGCCCGAAGGAGCGCGCCGCCCCGCGCCCGCTTCTTCCTCCCGAGCGCCGCTCGCGCCCGAAGCAGCCTCGCCGCGCCGCCGTCATCGTCCGGTCGCTGGCGCCACCTCCGCCCCGATGTCGCGCCACCTCCACCGCCCGGTCGCCGCCGCACCTTGCCGCGCCGGCGCCGCCACCTCGCCGCCTGAGGAGCTCCGGCCGGCGCCCTCCTCACCAAGTCCCCCGACGAACTCCGGCGAGCGCCAAGTCCGGCGAGTTCTTCCTCAACCCCGGCGAACCTCGTTTCCCGTGCTGCTACAGTGATCTCAGATCTAGATCCGGACGGTTGACTTTTTATCCCCGAAACCCTAGATATTGTGCATTTTTCATCATGCCGTAACTCCGCATCCGTAACTCCGTTTTGGGCGTGTAACATATCAAAATGTTCGCCTCAGAGAGCACATCATTCCATCTCATTGCATCATTTTCATTTGAGCTCATCTTGATGCCCGAAATGCTGTTGGAAGAGAGCTATTTGAGATAATTGTCAGATCTGCTGCATCAATTAGCTATTTGTCATTTTTGCCATGATTAATGTGTGCATGATATGCTCCTGAGCTCTACATGAGTTTTGTTATATGCTTTGCAATCTTTACAAAGGTGCTTACCATGTATTTTTGTGATATGTGTGATGACTAGTACAAGCTTGCAAAGTAGTGCATTCGTTAATGCTGATTTCAGGGACTTAGAATTTCACTAAGTCCTTGATCTGTTTTTATCAATATGCCATATATTCATATTGTTTCCTAGTGATCCGTGCCTCTTTTGAGGATGATCAATAAGGATGATTTGTTAATATTGTGGTGCTATATCCATCCATGTCTTTGTTTGCAATTATGGAGCACCCTAGCTTGAGTCAATCGAGCTCTACTTTTGCTATTTCGTGAATCCTGGCAGATTGTTTACTTGTTAGCGATTTTGCCGAGGATGTTGTTGTTGATCCGTGCATGCTATGTTGTTGTTCTTGTCATGTCTAGATTATATAATATGTATTCTTGTTGGGTGTATGCTTAGATTATCATGCCATGCTCTGTAGTGAGTGCATCGAGCTCGTGAACATGCCTACTCGTTAACATATTTGCATGCTCCAGTTTTTCACTAAGTGTGTAACCTGATTATGTTTTTGCCATGTTCACACGCTTGCAATTGTATTTTCTGATCCCTTTTGGCTCAAGGTCACTAAAGGACTTTTGTTAAGTGCTTTGAGTAGCTTCATGTCATGCCTTGCTTTGCCATGTTAAGTTTCTGTAGCATATAGTTTTCGTGCTCCAAAGTGTGCTACCTGATCTGAAATTCCATACTTGTGTTAATTTCACTAAGTCTGAAACCTGTTTATCATTTGCACTTTTGCCATGCTTGTTTGAACCTGTTAATGGATGAATTGGCCGTAGCTCAGTGTTCATCTTTTGTCAAGCATTATGAGTGGATCCCTGCCATGTATTTTGTTGCCATGTTTGAGTGTTGTAGCATAATTAACTTAATGCATTTAGATGGCTACTTGCTGTTTATCGCAGACCGATGCCATATTTGTTTTGCTTGTCATTTCCAAACCGTGCATCCGATTCCGGTGATCTTTATATGGATTTCAACCAAAATCACCTCACCTTTCCAGTGGCACTCTTGGATTTCCAAGTTGAGGCCAGGTTCAATCATTCCTTGTCAAATCTTGCATATGCATCACGTGTTGCATCCCGCATGGCATACCATGTTTGCATCATGTTGTTTGAGCTTTGCACGTGGTTGATTGTGTTCCTTTTGCTTGTTTGTCTTGTTTGGGTAGAGCCGGGAGACGAGTTCACTAACGAGGAGCCCGTTGAGTTTGCTTTCGAGGATCTAGTCAACTCTGACAACTTTGCAGGCAAGATGATCATACCCTCGAAATCACTTCTATCTTTGCGTGCTAGATGCTCGCTCTTTTGCTATGCCTATGCTACGATGCCTACCACTTGCTTATCATGCCTCCCAAATTGCCATGTCAAACCTCTAACCCACCATGTCCTAGCAAACCGTTGATTGGCTATGTTACCGCTTTGCTCAGCCCCTCTTATAGCGTTGCTAGTTGCAGGTGAAGATTGGAGACCGTTCCTTGTTGGAACATTGTTTTTTTGTTGGGATATCACTATATTATCTTGTTATCTTAAATGCATCTATATACTTGGTAAAGGGTGAAAGGCTCGGCATTTTGCCTAGTGTTTTGTTCCACTCTTGCCGCCCTAGTTTCCGTCATATCGGTGTTATGTTCCCGGATTTTGCGTTCCTTACGCGGTTGGGTGATAATGGGAACCCCTTGACAATTCGCCTTGAATAAAACTCCTCCAGCAATGCCCAACCTTGGTTTTATCATTTGCCACCTAGCCTCTTTTTCCCTTGGGTTTCCGGAGCCCGAGGGTCATCTTGATTTAAACCCCCCCCTGGGTCAGTGCTCCTCTGAGTGTTGGTCCGACCGAGCAGACTGCGGGGCCACCTCGGGGAAACTTGAGGTTTGGTTTTATTCGTAGGATGTCTCATCTGAGTGTGCCCTGAGAACGAGATATGTGCAGTTCCTATCGGGATTTGTCGGCACATTTGGGCGGTGTTGCTGGACTTGTTTTATCTTTGTCGAAGTTGTCTTGTAGAACCGGGATACCGAGTCTGATCGGAATGTCTCGGGAGAAGGTTTATCCTTCGTTGACCGTGAGAGCTTGTGATGGGCTAAGTTGGGACTCCCTTGCAGGGATTTGAACTTTCGAAAGCCGTGCCCGCGGTTATGGGCAGATGGGAATTTGTTAATGTCCGATTGTAGATAACTTGAACCTTAACTTAATTAAAATGATTCAACCGCGTGTGTTACCGTGATGGTCTCTTCTCGGCGGAGTCCGGGAAGTGAACACGGTGTTGGAGTAATGTTTGCCGTAGGTTGTTCTCTAGTTCTTCGTTCATGTTTTGCCTTCTCTTCTCGCTCTCTTTTGCGAATGGGTTAGCCACCATATATGCTAGTCGCTTGCTGCAGCTCCACATATTACTTTGCCTTACCTATAAGCTTAAATAGTCTTGATCGCGAGGATGCGAGATTGCTGAGTCCCCGTGGCTCACAGATTCCTTCCAAACCAGATGCAGGGCCCGATGACTCCGTTCCAGATGATGCGCTTGAGCTCAAGTGGGAGTTCGACAAAGACTCACGCCGTTACTATGTGTCTTTCCCTGATGATCAGTAGTGGTGCCCAGTTGGGGCGATCGGGACCGTATCGCATGTTGGGGTTGATCTTTTATTTTGGTACCGTAGTCGGACCATGAGTGTATTGGATGATTGTAATGTTATTTATGTACTTTGTGTGACGTGGCGAGTGTAAGCCAACGATGTACCTTTTCCCCCCTATTATCTATTATATGGGTTGTTATGAAGATTACCTTACTTGCGACATTGCTTTCAATGCAGTTATGCCTCTAAGTCGTGCTTCGACACGTAGGAGATATAGCCGCATCGAGGGTGTTAGACCACACCCCATCCCTCTCTACCACCAGTCTGTAGAGCCATTTGCTATGTAAACACCTAGTTTTCACTTTCAGATTCTCGATACCCAAGCCACCTTGGTCCTTCGGGCTACAAATAATGTCCCATTTGGCTAACCTATACTTAGTTTTGTTTTCATCAATTTGCCAGAAAAATCGAGATCGATATAATTCCAATCTTTTTCGTACCCCTATAGGTACCTCAAAGAAAAGCTAGTTCGAGGTGGCAGCGGTTGCTGGGAAAGACGTCTTTGGACCTGGTGGTTGATGTGTAGGGGAGGGTGTGAGGGGAGTTGGGGAAACCTTGTCTCGGCTTCGTGCCATGAGCAGCGGCAATGACACCTCTGGGCGTTGTAATCCTTGTCGGGGGAGCTGCATCATTGTTCCTCTCCTCCGCTCATGGTCTTTGCTTTGGGGGAAACCCATGCTCCCCTTCTGGGATAGAAAATGGCAGCGATTACTTCATCATTGACCTTCATGGAGACATTGTCTTGGAGCTAACTCGATCACCATAGCCAGAGCAGCTTGTTTGGCGTTGCTTCAAAGTGAGGTCTATGGATAGCGACTTGAGGCAAATGGCATGGATCTGCAGCGGCGATAGTGATTTTTCTGGCTAGGCCGCAGTCTCTGTGTAAGACGCCGGTTAGGCCGCAGTTCAAAAATCTCATTCCCCCTTTGGGTTATTGAACGTCCAAAAATCTTATTCCCCCTTTGGGTTAGCGTAGACTGGAAAGGGGTGGCATTACCACCGACGTTAGATATAAAATCTACGGTGGAGATTGCACCCTAGGACCAACCCCAGGCGGTTGGACTAGCCAAGAACCCTAACCAAAAAAATCCCCACCTTCTTCCCCTCCAAATCTCCCAATCCGCTGCCCCTTCGAGAAATTCTGCCCAAGATTCCGCACGAGTACCGCCGGTTCCCTCCAGCGAGGGGAGGGGAGGGGTCCGACCCATCTCGGCGGCGGCGGCGGCGGCGGCGGCGGCGAGTCGGGGAAGATGAATCCCCTGACGCAGGTGAAGCGGACGCAGGTGATAAACCAGAAGGAGGCGGCGCTGGGCCTCAGCGAGGACGCCTCGTGGCACGCCAAGTTCAGGGGCTCCGCCTACGTCTTCGTCGGCGGCGTCCCCTTCGACCTCACCGAGGGCGACCTCCTCGCCGTCTTCGCGCAGTGAGTATCAGACCGCACCCCCCGACCTAGATTTTCCGCCCGTTCCCCCCTCCCGACGGATTTGGCAGGGTTCTGACCGGCTCCCGATCTCCTCTCTCAGGTACGGCGAGGTGGTCGACGTGAACCTCGTGCGCGACAAGGCCACCGGCAAGTCCAAGGGCTTCGCGTTCGTCGCGTATGAGGACCAGAGGAGCACGGTTCTTGCCGTCGGTGAGGCCCCTTTCCCCTTTCCTACCAGGCCGCTTCTGTGTGTGATTCCGAATGGTGCTTTGCTGAACTGCTAATGTTTGTTTCGCTTCGTCTCGGCTGCGTAGATAATTTGAATGGGGCTAAGGTTCTTGGGAGGATCATCAGGGTTGACCATGTGGAGAAGTACAAGAAGAAGGAGGAGGAGGACGAGGAGGAGCTGCAGAAGAAGAGGGAGGAGCGCGGCGTGTGCTATGCTTTCCAGAAAGGCGAGTGCAACCGTGGAGATGCCTGCAAATATTCCCATGATGAACAGGTATCTATCCTGCTTCTCAAATTTTCAAATTGTTATTCAATTTTTTTTTGCTAGCAATACACACAACCTATTCACCATCGTGCTCGCAGTGATTTTTTTTTTTTGACTGAACACTGTGAGGCAAAAAGACCCACAGCCATTTATTAGAAAAACAGATCACCAAGGTCTTACAGAAATAAAACACTAACTAGACTATCTAGACTATCTAGACTAACTAGACTAACTAGGCTATCTAGAATAGTTACAAGGACAACAGAGTCTGTTGCCTAATTGCAGCAGGACTATATACAAATAAATACAACCAGGGTTCATGGCAGGGTACTGGTCCAGTGTAAAAGCAAGGGCTTTACTGCTTATTCGTTAGGAATGCACACAAGCGATTCACAACCTGCCTCGTAGTAATTTGCACGAGAGAAGTTCTTTCACGATAGTGTCAAAAACGTCTTATATCAAGTTACGGAGGGAGTAGAAAATTAGTTCCTGACAGTTCACTCCAATCGTCTGTGAAATAACAGTCTGTGGTAATAATGTACACCTGCATTTCTCAAGATAAAGATATGCTGGAAACTTATACTTGTACAGTAAGGCCTTTACATTTGTTGTGGTCATCATTTTACTTCAGTCAAATGACCTTATAACCTTCCAAAGCATATGTTGCAGAATTCAATGAAAGAATGGGGTGAACGACCAGTAGTTGTTGCAAGTACATGCTCCATTTATGCCATTGTTGACTTGTTCTAGGTTTGGTTACATGCTATAGATTATTTACTTTCGGACAATTTTATTGTTATTTCCGCAATAGTTATCTGCTTCTCCAAATGCACAAACCAATCACTAATATTGGATTACAAATGTGTTATTATAATGTTACTTGGCTGGAAACATTTGCCCTTTGTACTAGGCCCTATAGTTTATCGGTAACCTTCTTAAGTACTTCCACTGAACCGTCATGATTGCCAACTAATTCTGGTGTTCATGGTTATATTTCAGAGAAATGCAAACACTGGTTGGGGTTCTAAGGAGGATGACCCAAAATGGGAGCATGACAGGCACCGTGGTCCACAAAATAAGGGGGAATCCCGTGGCATCTGCTATGCTTTCCAGAAAGGCGAATGCAGTCGGGGAGATTCCTGCAGATTTTCGCATGATGAGCAGGTAGCTGTCCTGGGCCGTGGCGTCTGCTACGCTTTCCAGAAAGGCGAGTGCAGTCGCGGAGCTTCCTGCAGATTTTCACATGATGAGCAGGTAACTGTCCTGCTTGTGCATCTACCAAGTAGTTATATAGGAGAGCACACATGGCAACAGACTACATAGTTTGTGTTAATTTCCACGATAAGTTTTCTCGCAATATGAACGTGTTATATTGCCAGTTTAGTTATTAATAGAAAATGAGTTGCTTATCATTTTGCCACGACGTCCATTTAGAGTGTTTATATTGATATTTTATCAAGGAAATATGCTGAAAACTTGTGCTTATAACAGTTAGGCCTTTAGTGTTTGTACTTCAGTTGGATGAGCCATTACCTGCAAAATATATTTCATGAAGTCCGTAGCAGATATGTCGTTTCGGAGAACATTCCCACATTGCCAGAGGTTTTAACATTTGTTGTTGGAAACACAAGCACCATTTTTTTTATTGCATTGCGCTAGATATGGCTGTATGCTAGAGATTGTCGCTTTGGGCATGACTTATGATATTTTTGCAGCATGCTACATGCTTCACTGAATGTACTGTAATAATAACTCACCAATTTATGGTTATGGGTGCGCATTTTTATTGTTGCCTGGCTGGAAATATGTCCTTTATACTTGGTCGTATGGTTCATCAGTAATGTTGTTCAGTCGTCCCAGTAAGCCATTGCTTGGCAGCTAATTCTGATTTCATGAATTCTATTTTCAGAGGAATGCAAACACTGATCGAGGTTCTTGGGAGGACAGCAATGCAAGACGGCAGCATGACCACGATCCACCAAAGAGCCACAAAAATTTCCCTGACAGGAATAAAGAAGAGACGAGATCAGGGGATAGGGATGGTCAATCCTCAAGATCAGAGTTGCACAGGGACCGAGATTCTAGGTCGAGACACGGCGATAGAGACACAAAAGATAGTGACAGGAACAGGCACGAGAAATCCCCCGAGAGATCAAGAGGTGACAGGCAGAGAGGCGATGACAGGGGAAGAGAAGATAGATCAGACACAAAAGATAGGGACAGGAACAGGCATGAGAAATCCCCTGAGAGATCAAGAGGCGACAGGCAGAGAGGCGATGACAGGGGAAGAGAAGATAGATCAGAGAGCAGACGGTCTAGGCACGACATAGACTCTGGTGGCCGTCACGAAAGAAGGGGTGACGAAGAGGAAGAACGGTACCGGAAATCACGGAGATAAAACTCAGGGCATGCACTGCCGTTGCTGTTCTAGTCTGGGTTGATGTTTGTACTTGTACAAGGTGAACAATTTTGTTAGTCCTTAGTCTGTGCTAGATATTCAGGGTGACATCTGCTTGTTCTTTTCCTTACAAAGTTTTTGAACATACTAACCCATGGGTTATTTTGCAGGCTATATTAACTCAATCCATGATTGGTTCACACAGTAATGTTCTTTATATTGTCATAGTAACAACTATCTGGCGAATTTTGTAACACTTGTGGTAAATTTTACCTGTAAAATTACCAGAAAACTGACACCATCAGAGCAAAGATATCATGCTTGAACAATTCTGTTAAACAAAATATCACGAAACATAAATATAATGGAATGGCAGAAAAGCAAGTGTCCAGTCTGCTGTACATTTTATTGACTGAACTTATTACACTAGCTACTACTGTTTATTCGGAGCAGCAAAGAACCCACAGCAAACACGCACGCTCTGAAGGTCTCTGCCACAGGCTTCAAAAGCGGAGAAATGAAAGCAAACATGCCCTACATGCCGGAGAAATCCAGGAACGTCGACTCGGCAAGATCGATGGCACGAGCGAGGCCGGCTGCCTTGTTCTGGCACTCCTGCTGCTCGTCGTCCGGCTTGCTGTCGGCGACGATCCCGGCGCCGGTCTGAAGGTGCGCCACCCACTCCTGGCGTGCGTTGCTGCTGTCGGCGGCATATGAGTACATGGTGTCGAACCGGGACGCCGTCGGGAAGACGATGGTGCGCAGCGCGAGGGCGATGTCCATGTCGCCATGGAAGGAGATCTGACCGAAGCCGCCGCTGTATGGACCGCGCATCGTCACTTCCATCTCGTCGATCAGCTCCATCGCTCTCACCTGGTGAGTTTCAGAAGGAAGCATGTGGGGGCTTGCTCAGTGAATTCAGGGTTGAATCATGGACGAATTGAATTTCAACAACAGCTTTCTAGAATTCGAAGAAATATGATTGATTTGACACTTATCTATACTGCATCGCCGTTGTTTTTTCCAAAACAGTTTTTCAGTTTCAATGCATCTAGATGATGATGTGATAGCAGCAAGCATGCACTTACCTTGGGAGCACCACTGACGGTTCCAACAGGCAATGCAGCTCGCAGGGCATCCCAACATGTAAGATCATCACACAGCTCCCCAGTAACCTACAGAAGTAGACCCACACATTATGAGAATAACACAATTTCATCAAAAACAAATGGATATCGTTAGATCTATTTGCTTCAAGAAAATGGAGAAGATATACAATGTTGATTGTGTATATTATGATATTGCATCAAATGACTTTGAAGTTGTTTGTCTGAAGAATTAGACTGACTTACCGTCGAGCTAATATGCATGACATGAGAATATCGCTCAATATTCATCAATTTCTCCACCTTTACTGTTCCTGGTTTGGACACCTGGAAAAAATGGCGAAGTTGAACACAACTCAAACTAGATGAAGTCAAAAGTGTACCAAAACAGCCAACAGGTTTTGATCAAACAAGATTGCTTGCTTGAAATTAGGATAAAATTCCACTGGATCTAACTAAGTATAGATTTTATTATCACTAATGCGCCACTAACAAAATGGAAATGGATGTCAATAGTTGCCAGCCGGAATAAATGGTGGCCAGGAGGAACTTGATGGCACATGGGTACCTTACCAATCTTTATTTGGCAAATTGTGAAATGTATTAGAGATTGAATTGAATGGAAACTATAAAATAAATGGGTGAAAGACAAACCTTTCCAACATCATTCCGACCTAGATCTACTAACATAATGTGCTCGGCACGCTGTTTTTCGTCACTCAACAGGAGCTGTTCTAAAACCTTGTCTTCAGCTTTTGTTTTTCCTCTACGGATTGTTCCAGCAAGAGGCCGATTGACAACTGTCCTCTGAGAAAAGGAAAAATAACAGGTCATGTTGTTCATTTGGCACCTACAACTTTTCTAGAAGATTGTGGTCATGCAAATATCAAAGAGTTCCTGCAATATCTTTCTTGAATTATTAGCACACGACAACAGAATGATAACTATAAAATTGTCTCCATCTTGTAAAGCAAATAGATAACACATTCGATACGAAAGGTTAACTTCCACTACATATTGCAGTTACAAACAAGGTTTGGAAGCAAGCCCATAACAAAAGATGCAAAAGATAAAACTCCCTATTTTGGCTTACCTTTGCGACCCGAGTAAGAATCTCAGGACTTGATGCTACAAGAATACAACCTCGTGCCTGCAATAATGTTACAGGAGATTAACCTTACTGATTATTATGTGTCACGATCATGACTTTTCCCGCATAGAATACTGCCAATATTCACATTACCTGTAGATAGGCCATATAAGGACTAGGGTTGACAATACGCAACGCGCGATACACCTCAAAAGGGTCGGCGAATGTACGTCTCTCAAAACGTTGGCTTAGTACTACTTGAAAAATATCACCTGCTAGAATGTGCTCTTTTGCTTGCACAACAGACTTCTTATAGTCCTCGCTAGACATTGTTGATTTTTGTAGCGCTGAGCCGAATTGCCCAACGTTAAGCTTAATAGATCCAGCAGAAAGGGTTGGGCTACATCAATATTTCATTGAACTAGATCAGTGGGAAATAGAAAATTAGAAGAAAAGTAACTAACACATATAAAAGGAGTTGGCCAAATTTCACAACTCACACATTACTGCTATGCAATCTTGATAACAAAGCTTCCAACCGGTTTTTCCCATCTTCGTATGCTTCATCAATTGAGTGATAGCAGTCCAACCTCACCCAATGAATAACATGTGTTTTCTGCATCGAACAAAACACATCATATGAGGCAAATGCCTTGAAATATCTGAAGAAATTAGCTTATTTGAGATGTATTTTATATAAGCTCATAACTGATATGCATTCTTATCAAGAATTTGCTTCAGTCTCGCAAATATATTTAGAATAAGGAAAATTGGATATACAACAAATATATATAGAAATCAAATGATATGAAATTAAGGAAAATGCATAAACGTGTTCCGTAATTACCCATACCTTTTCAACATGATCAAAAACGACTACGTCATTGTAGAGGCCTAAATGAATGTCAGGAAGGTTCCTATCATCCTCTGGCGCCTTAGAAAACGGAAGCTTCTTTGTCTCAACATAACGCACCGTATCATATGAGAAGAATCCAACCCATCCTCCTATATATTTTCCAAACACAATTAAGATTCTTCTGAAAAACATAACCAGCGCTCAACAAAGGATGAAGATCACACTCTGTAGATGAAAAAGGCATCCACAATGGATCTGTTCAACCCAATGTGGCATGGCCAAAAAGGACCATGTTAATATGCTTAATTAGCAAGCACTAACTGCATGCCCCACTACATCACAGAATTTGTAGAGCAATAAGGTGAAAGTGACACACGTATATATAACTCTTACCACAAAAGGCATCAGGCAGGCCATCAAGCGTAATCTGCGGATTCCACTGCTCCATGATGTCCCTTGGGACGGTCATCGGGTCAGCCGCGTACTGCTCCTCCTTGGTCCTCATCTCGTGGTCCATGACCGTCACCTGGTTGGCCTTGGCCACGATCTCCATGGCCGGCTGCGCCCCCACCACGCTGTACCTCCCCTGCAGATTGCAGATTGCAGGCCAACCAACAACCCGGCACGCGACAGATTCAAATGATTCCGATTTTCTCTTGGGAGGATACGAATGGATAATAAACATCAGCCAATCGTGAGGCCGTCGGTTCAGGGACGAACCACGTTGGTGCCCTCGGAGGCCTGCTCGACGGACTCGAAGAGGAAGCTGGGCGCCTCGCGGTCGTCCTCCCGGACGAGGCAGCGGTAGGCGAGCACCGGCGTGAGGTGGTCGGAGAAGATGCAGCGCTGGAGGGGCAGCAGCGTGTGCCCCGCCGCCGCCGCCTCCCTGAAGGCCTCCTCCTCCTCACGCACCGCTGCACGCGCGCGCGACAGACAATCCGCATTCAGTCAGCCAGTCAGTCGCGCAAAGCCGCAGAGAATCAGCGCCGCGAGGTTGCAGAGCAGAATGTCCAGCCCGCGCGTAGCACGGAGCGGGCGGGAGTGGGGGACTCACCGACGGCGTCGAGCTTCTGGAAGGCCGTGGCGGCGCGGCACGCGACGCCGGGGCGCGCGCGAGGCGGCAGCAACGGAGGAGGGGCGCTCGCGCGGCGGGCGAAGGCGAGGCGCCCGTGCGGCAGCGACGGCGCGAGAGTCCTCCGCGGCACGCGCGTCGACGGCTGCGCGGGGCGCACCGAGAGCGCGAGCCCGGCCGCCGCCATGATGCGGTTGACTGTGTGGCGAGAGAGACTGGGCCTGAGGGAGGGTACGATGTGGGAAATCGGAGAGGCGGGTAGGGCCTGGATGCGGTCCGTCGTTGTCCCGCGGATATGTAGAGCACGGGCACGATGGGACTGACTGCACGAACTAAATTAAATCAATCAAACGGTGATTTGACTAGGTAAACGTTTGGGCGCGGTAGGCCGGTTGAAGGATTCGGCCGGTCGCTCGCCAGCCACGCGATGAGCCCCGATTGTACGCCTTGTGCATCACCATGGCCCACCTTATCCCTCTTCTTTCTCCCGATCCCCTCCTCTCTCAGCCTAGCGCGCTGGTGGCCACACTCCTTGTCTTCTCCTTTGGATCCCGCCGCCGGCTAGCACCAATCCCATGCAGGTCCCTATCTCCAACCTCAGCGTCCTTGCCCACTTCTCCGCCGCCCCCCGACCGCAAGTTCCTCCCGCCCCGATGGAAGCCGCCATGGATATGCCATCTGCGACCAGCTGCACATGTGCTGGAACCATCCACCGGAGATGCTACAAGCTCGGCGGCGCCTGCACCAATGTTGCAACCGATGACCCAGAAAACTGCAACTGATTGATTTAAAAGCTTCAATCACTCGTATATAAAGCTTCAACTGGACACCATGACTGGAAAAAGCTATAATCATTCATATGAAAGCTTCAATCGT